ATGCTCCTCCCTTATTCACTTCTCTACTTTGGTGTCACTCTTCCTTTTCTGGCACTCGATTACATCGCAGTATATCGGTGCGCCTTTCAGAACGTGTAGTTCAGATGCCATATTTAGCCATGTATCGCCTCGCTTACACAATGCTCCGATAAAGAGCCTGTAAAATATTGTAAATAAATAAATAAATAGCAATGTTTCGTCTGGCACGAAAATGCTTTGCTATATGCGAAAATTCGTTATAGACATACATTCTTAACACTGTATCTATGGCAAAGCTATTCTTCACTTCGTTATACCCGGGTTCGTTATATCGAGGTTTGAGTGTATGCAGCGTAAGCCTGCCAAACACCTGCAAGTCCGCCTACTGGCTGCGAAGGCTAAAGCCTGCATCGCAATGTTTTTAAAGGAACAGAAAAGAGAAAAGCGATTTTTCGCCGATTAGTAATGTTTCGCAGTCCCGAAAAAAAAAACACTCTTACCGGGAGGCGACGCTCGGTAAACGAGAAAACGCGCGAAAAGAAAGCGCGCCTGGGGACGCCACCTTCGGATTCCCGCACCAAACACCGTGACGTCACAGATTGTGATGGCGTCTACCGTGTCCTGCGCAGCTTCATGTCGGTAAAAAGGAAGTACATGGCCATCAGTAGGTGTCGTGTACCCAACATGCCAAGTTCAAGAAATTTTCATCGAGCCCATGTTGCGAAAATACGCAGTATTTGAAAGTAGTTATGTCCCGCTGAGAGGCTTCGGCGCGAAATTTAAAAATGAAACTTCAACCGCGATTTCCTCCACTAATAACGAAGTTATGACAGTGAAACTCGTCGCATAAGATATCTCAGAGTGCAGTTTATCAATCTAAACAAAATCATCGTTTCTCTTCAATGCGGAACAGCGCCTTTACTGATGGCGAAATTCAGGTAGCACATGCGATGTCTGCGCTATGCGTCGGCGCAACCATTTTCCGGACAAAAAAAAAATGGCAGCATATCCACGGGGTGAATGATGGAGAGTGGGGGCGAAGCATCCGTCCGTTCATTCGTTCTTGCTTCCGTCCGCGCGTGCGTCTGATCGTGCGTCCACACGTCCATCTGTGCCTCCATCCCTGCGTTCGTCCATGCATCCGCTCCTGCGTCCATCCGTCCGTGCAGCGATCTGTGCATCCATCCATGCATCTGTCTGTGTGTCCGTTCGTCCATCTATTCAACACTCCAAGTACCACGATCTCGCATCTTTTCTTCATATATTCCCCATATAGAAGCACCGTCATCCAGCGGACATTCCAAGGACTAAACCAGAGGTGGCACCAGCACACTTTCTTACGGCTTGCGCTTCGTGTCTACTTCCCACCTTGAACCAGCTCGAGTTCATGGTATATACTAGTTCACTGTATTCATGGCACTGCGGCCCAACGCTCGCTAAACCTTTCTAAAACCAAGGAAGTTACGCCCAGCGAGTAAAACGTAGCAACCCTTTCTTGTCAGATAGTGCTCAATGTACATGCCAATGGCTGTTAATGGGGAATGAGAGGCAGGAGAATTCGGCTTTTAGTTAACGCGCACGCTGCGAATTTTTTATTGTTCAACAACGCAAAGGAGAAATCTCCCGCCGGCACCACCTTGCAGGTCAAAGCGCAAGCCATGTTACGTACTACGACAGGGAACGAACGGGTGGCGCTTTAAGGAGCTTCGCCCCTAAAGAACCGAAAAGCCGAAACGCGGTACCATGCACTCGACGCGGGCGACCTGTTGGTGCGGAGTGAGGCCCGGAACGCGCAGCAAGCGGCCAGTGCTTAAGTTTTGCAGCGAAAGTTGTGATAATATAAGTTGTGATAATATTATATTGTAATATAAAGTTGTGATAATATAATATAATATAACACGGGCCGCGAGCGCCACCGTGGTTGTCAGCCGGGCCGGTGTGCGGAACCAGTATCGCAAGAAATGAGAAAGAAAAAAAAAACACTCGGTAATTAAAAAAAAACACCAAGGACACAACTACATTCGAACCCGGATCCACTGCATGCCAACCAAGTATTATACCACTGAGGCACGCCGGTGCTTATAACTCGTTTCTAAACTGGCCTTAGGCAGGCTTGATGTCGGGAAAGGAATCGTGAGAATATAAGTAATAAAGCGTTTTAGAACATCGAAGTTGACAACTAGGCTTTCACACAGTGCGTATTGTGCAACGAGTGGGTCGTCCAATGCTCCTACAAAAGCTTGTTGTTGATCACCTGTAAACTGTGACGTATACCCTCTTCAGGCATAATTCTTCATCGTCGTCAGCCACTGCATGAAAAAAAAAACAATTGGAGAAAATTCCTAGCAAGTGCAAAGCGGGTACCACTATACTTTAAAGAATGACGAAGAATAGCATAGTGAATGCCGGCCTACTACACAAAAAACTCCCAAGCATTTCCCCGAGGGTGAACATGGTTAAGTGCGAATGCACGGGGTGATGCTATGAGGGGGAGTAAAGTTAAAATCCGTTGGCGACGCTGATATTGGTGTCAGTAACGTGCCTTATATGTAGATGGTAGCGTTGCCTTTGGGACATCCATCGCACGACCCGCTCTCGACGGAAGACTGAGAGAGAAGGCGGGCGCGCGAGAGAGAGGGGTGCGCGCGCAGCTGCAGCGAGCGAGGAGAGCGGAGGAGCGAGCGAAGCGAGAGGGGGACTATCAGCGTCGCGTCCGTGGCTTATTCGGTAGAGCGTCGCGCTGCGGCCCGCCAAGTCCTCTTTCTTTTAAAGATAGAGAGAAGACTGCGGACGCCGCCGACGGCGATGGATGGTTTGGGGTCGCTTATAAAGTGTATTCACACTTAAAATTAAGATTATTTATGGCGTAGTGGGTACCCAACAAGTTTGGCGCTGAAAGCAGCGCAGTAGTTGGGCTGCAGGGCCCTACCGGAGTGTCCGCTCTTTATGTATGTTTCTCTATCAGCACCCGCGTTGGTGATCTAGTGCAACTTGAACGGAGGCCAAAGACCGCGCGCGCCCGTCGGAGCGCGTGGAATTTTGACGCGGTGCCTCGCCCTCTCCCTATGAAGAGAGTGGGCGCACAGCTTAGCGTAGACCGGACCACACGTCCTCTGTTAAATTTATCTTTCATGGCACCAAGAACACAATAGTGGCTGCGAGTAGACGAGCGAAAACAAAATGTGGGTGTCGACGCCGCTTGCTTTCCGCGCCATTCGCCGTGACGTCACTTATTTTGACGGCGCCTACCTTAGGGCCTACGGAGTTCCTAGTCGGTAAAAAAATGAGGCACTTTGTCCTCTGGAATAGCTGTAGACTTCGCACAGCAGGTTTGATGTAACTTTGTCGAGCCGAAGACACCAAAGTACGCTTTAGTATGCGTGACGTCACGCGTGAAGATTTCAGCGCGAAATTTAAACATAAAACTTCGAACTTAATTTGTCGCTCTATTAATAAACGTGTCCTGTGAAATACACAACATTACAGTTCTCAGGGTACAGTCTATAAATCGAAACCGGTCCATTGTTTCTCCTTAGTGCCCGTGGGTGCGAATGCTCTACATGTTTCTTTTGGGAACAGCGGCGCTTCTCACCCGTGGAGGAACTAGTTTTGATAGTGTTAGTTTGATTACGCGTTTGACCCGAAAGCCGACATGATCGTAACTAAAGTGTGTGTGTGTGTGATGGCCAGTTTAAATCAGTGAGTGATTTACGCGCACGTGCTCAGTGGTCAAGGGGTGAGGAAGGTCGGAGGTTCAATCCCCCCTCCCCCGCGAATTAAAAAAAAAAAAAATCTGCCTTCGTATATACACGCACACATGCACGAACATACATGAAGTATGGCACGAACATACATAAAGATGTACGACTTTTCACCTGTTACATGTAGGACTTTCAACCAACGAATGTTTTCTTGGTCAGTGCAGGGGCGTAGGTAGAGCATTTTTCGGAGGGGAGGAAGGGGAAGGCTCCTAAATCTGAAGTGGGGTTTGGCCGGGCACGGGGCCAGTTTTCGCTGTATATGCGCATGTCATGTCAAAAAAAAAAAAAAAAAAGAAATAGGGGAGGCGGGAGGCACTGGCCCATTGTGCCACCCCCTGGCTGCGCCCCTGGGTCAGTGGTCTCAGCGAGAGAACAAACTTTTCGCTGGTTTCAGTTAAGGTGCTCGGCTGCTCAGCCGAGCACCACGGGTCTGATCCCGGCGGCGACGGTTGCATTATGGTGGAGGAGATATGGTAGAGGTCATCTATAGCCTCGAATGTATTGTTTCTGTTTCTCCGTAGAGGCGCGCGTGCATCAACGCCTCTATCATTCTTCACATCTTGTTCCTTTCATCATTTTTTTTTCCATACCTAAAAGCCGTGCTTCCACAAATGTTGGCTCCGACGACGGAAACGAGAAAATGACGATTTCCGTTTCTTCTTTCCTCAACGATACAGTAGTGCGGCGTCTGCATTTTCGATGTAGGCGCCGGAGACCGGAGAAATTTCTGGATACCTCCACTAACGCGTCTCTCATAATAATATGGTGGTTTAGGGACGTTGAGTTCCGCATATCAATCAATTAACAATAAGGTACAATGTAGTGAACAACTGCCTCCATTCCACGTCCCATTGTCTCGACTGCCGCCTAAACGATAACCTCTTTTGCCTCGGTATCCTCAGCCGACGAACGAACGTAGCACTGCCCGCCTCCGCCGATAGCCTATAGTGATAAGTATAGTGAACTAGATTATGATGAGGGACTTTTCTCCTCGCAGCGGGGTAGATAAATGTATTAATATGGATGTACCTTTTAGATTGGGTGGCGGCTATCGCCACCTAGCTGCAATACTTAGAAAACAAAAAGTTATCTTTTTTTTCTTTATACCAATGATGTCTTTTCTCTCTCTCTCTCTCTTAAATAGTGAAGTTAAGCACTGGCATTTGCAGTGAAGAATTTCAACGGGTTTTAACATTCCCACACTCTACCGGCGACTGACCGAACTGCTGTTACACTCTCTTTGGTCAATTTTGGCCGAACGTCACTCGGGCAGCGGGCAACGGCGGTGCGGCAAGATTTTCAAAGATGGTGGACTACAGCAAGTGGAAAACAATCGAGGTGGGTGATTTAACGCGCGCGTTTCCTTTATTAAGCTGCACCGCGGCCTAGAAAGACGCAATTGGAAGTATAATCGCCGAAGGATCTGGACGTCGATTGATCTGATTGTTCCCAAGAACCGCTGCGAAGGCAGCTGCAGTGGAAACCCGAACCGTGATCCCACATAGATCATTCTAGAAATGGGCCTCAAAAGGCCGAGTGTTTACTGCCGACAAGCGATACTGGGTGCTGATTCTTTCACTAAGGCCGGTCACGCTGTCTTAAACGGGATCGTTTCACGAGCTTCAAGCGACAACCCGCCAGTTTATCTAGCTGGCATCCCTGAACTCGACGGCGCCACTGTGTTATTGCGCGCCCTTCGAAGAGCCCTCTTACGTTTTTATTTATGTAGTCCTTAGAAATCGCTGATCGGTTCACTTGTATTAAAAAAAACCGTTAAATCTCTTGAAATGTTTCACCCGGAAAACCGCCTCCGCTACGCTGGAATGATTGTTTGTTTTGTAAGATAAAAATGTCTCTGCGCGGCCGCTTTGACGTTGCTTCTTACGTTGCTGCTGTCGTTCTTGCACCTCATTATTATGTTCTTTTACCCGCTCATGTTATACCATATTCTTTTACCGGCATGAAACTGGGGCTGCTTTGATTTTGTTAACATTTTTTTTTCACCCATATATGTGCCCGCTTTTTCAAATGAATGCTTAATTGCAGTTAAGCAATTGTCTTTTTTGCTGTGCCATTGTGCACAACATATTGCGTTTCCTACGAAGATGGACCTGTAGCAGCTAGCCCGATCTACTTGTTTGTTATATTGAGAAAAATTGTTTGTCTCTCTTCAGTGTCTTGATTGATTGATTGATATGTGGGGTTTAACGTCCCAAAACCACCATATGATTATGAGACACGCCGTAGTGAAGGGCTCCGGAAATTCCGACCGCCTGGGGTACTTTAACGTGCACCCAAATCTGAGCACACGGGTTTACAACATTTCCGCCTCCATCGAAAACGCAGCCGGGATTCGAACCCGCGACGTGCGGTCTCTTCAGTGTCTTAAGGGAGGTTGTTGCTCATCTCGTTGCAGGTGTCGGACGATGAGGACGACACGCACCCCAACATCGACACGCCGAGCCTGTTCCGGTGGCGGCACCAGGCGCGCATCGAACGGATGAACGAGTTGAAGAAAGAGCACCAGTCGTACGAGGCAAAGAAGACCAGGTGTGTGTGTGACCTGTCGGTAAAAGCGGTTGCAATCGTAAAACTGGAACGGCATGAAAATCGACTTTTTATATAAGCTGGGGCAGACGCAGGGAAATAGCTGTTAACCTCCCACCCTGTGTAGGTTGGTGCGGTTAGGTGCTGCTTTTTACAGAGCACTATGGATGTTTTATGCCTGTTCAGGTCCTAAGAAAGTGTGGACATTAACCAAGATAGCAAGGCATTCAGCCTTGCTATCTTGGTTCTTCTGTTTATTTGTTTATCGTTCTTTCTCAACTTACGCTTTCTCTGGCAACAAAATGGCACCTAATCACTGTTCAAAATTTTTTACCATTTCTATACTCGTACATCAGGTGCGACATGGTCGAAGCTCGTGAGACTTTTTTGCAGTGCATACATTCTCGTCAATGAATAGCTTAATAATTTTACCACTCGTAACATTATTTTTTAGTTTTTAGACCGAGTAACAGATGACGATGCCTTGATTCCTACACATGAACAAATGCCAGTCCTCTATATGGTAGTCCGATAGGTGCTTCTGGATCATTTAGCATCAGATTGTTTTCGACTTGCAGTCTCTGCAATTAGGTCTGATCTCTTGATGTCGAAGTCGATGGCAGACGTTGCGTTTACAGTTGGGTGCACATTTTTCTCGCATGACTTTGTCAGTGTTGCATCTGATGAATGAATTGAAATATGAAACACTAGTCAGCTACTTTCAATCTCAAAGCATTCTAACAACGCTGGCTTTCATCGAATCCTGTGGTCTAATGATTTGGAGGTGTAGGGCTTCAGGCTCATTTGGCGAAAACATTTGGGAGCCTTTTTTCTTTTTTGCGAGTGCGGGCTGCGACAGTTGCATTTGGTAAATTGGGTCGACTTGTGCGGCAGCGTTCTTGCATTGGCTCATCATACGCAGGAATGACAAGCTGCTACTGGAGGCCCGTAAGCGATGCGAGGGCAAGACAGGCAAGGCATTGGAGGAGGCGAAACGTGATGTGGCCAAGCTAGAGAGGAAACAGAAGGAGTTGCTGAAGGAGAAGGAAGCGCTGGACAAGAAAGAGAAGGTGGGGACCGGCTGCCTTGCCAAAGCATATTCTTTTTGTCTAGGAAAAAGGGGGGAAAAAAGCTAGCAGTTTCGAATCTTGCTTTGTAATCTTTGTATGCAAGCATTGGAATCATTCAGTTAGTACCAAATAGCCCAGCTAAGGGTAACTAACTGGATTCCTAGAGAAGGCAAGCTGGTTAGGGGGAAGCAGAAGGTTAGGTGGGCAGATGAGACTAAGAAGTTTGCTGGTATAAATTGGCAGCAGCAAGCACAGGACCGAAATGACTGGCGGAACATGGGAGTGGGAGAGGCCTTTGTCCTGCAGTGGATGTAGTCGGGCTGATGATGATGAGGAGCCCTGCTAAATGGACTACCGAAAGAACTTACCCCAATTCCACGCATTGTGAATTCGGCAGAAACAGTGTATAGCTGCAGTTCACCCGCCCTTGTGACTCTTTGTTTTTGTGTGTGTGTGATGACATTGTAGGCTAGAGATACATGGAAAATGACGTGTGGTGGCCGCTAACGTACCTGTGTCTTATTATGGTGGCCTTAGGGCCCTGTCACACGTGGCAACTTGAGTGCACTTTGAGCGAGTGTACTTACGCTCACCAAGTGTAATTTTGGTGGTTTGCTGCTATACGAGAAAGAGAAGTGTACTTTGGAAATGATGATAGTCGCAATTGACAGGTTTGTAACACAACATATATTTGTTATTTTTGCTCCAATGTCTCATCCTCAGAACACGTCTTCGTGAAGCAGCACTGGTGGCCTGCCCCATCGTAAACGACTGCAGAATGTCTCGCCTACACATGTGCAAGCGTGCCTGGAATTAAACAATGCAACAGACGCAGCCATTGTACAGCATGTGCCGCCGCATCCCCCTTGATAGCGTTTCCTCAACCTGCTTGATGGTCAGAGTAGCGAACATTTTTGTTGATTTATGACTTGTTTTAATGCATAGCAGTATCTCTTATAATGAAAACAGTAGTTTAAAAATACCGTACTTACTCGCGTAATCCTCGCACTCTCATAATTCTCGCACCCCCCACATCGCCCAACAAAAATACGATTTTTTTTTTTTCGAGTAATTATCGCACCCCCGAAAACTACAGTAATAATGTCGTCTGCTCGTTCCAGCCATTGATAATGATAGCGCGGAGAGTTACACTATATGCTACCTTTAGGTAAAGGTAGCATATAGAGTAACTCTAATAGCGCGTGCCATCTCTTAAAAGCGTATTATTATTGCACAGAGATTCAATCTAAACCAAGCCAAAGTGGCAAGTGCACGTTCTGGCGTGTTTTGTACGTTGTGTCGGTAATCTTGTCATGATATAGGGCGATACTGAAGCTACAGGGCTGCTTTCAAGTTGAAAGTGATAGATCATGCATTAAACAATGGCAACAAGGCCGCCGGTAGGCCCTTCGGAGTTTACGAGTTTTGTGTTCGCTACTCGTGACGGCAGCTAAAAGCCACTAAGACTCGTTGGGCCTGCGTGTGCCTAAAACTGGAATTGATGGTAATCTTTATTTCTTCAGAAGGAAACTGCAGACGATTCTGTTAAATAGCCATCAGCCCAATACTGACGTCCTATGTTTACCTTTTGAGGGCTCCTGTTGAGCGACGAATGCTGCCACTACTCCTGCAATGCCCACAAGCTTTGCGTATGGTATTCTAATTCTCGACTACTATTTGCTTGCACTTTTTGTGTCTCAAATAAATCTTGCCTTGTGTTGACCCTCTGCTTGTATTGCTGAGGTAAATTTTAATTAGTACTTCTCAAAGCTTGCTGTTAGTTGCTGGTGTGAGAATCCCGATTTGCGGCCACTTCGTTTTCTTTTTTGCTCTGTACGTTTTCGTGGAAAGTTTTCCTTACGTAATTCTTTCATCCCCCAACTTTGCATCGATTTTCCGCAAAAAAAAGTGCGAGGATTATGCGAGTAAATACGGTAGTATGGGCGCCGCTTTATGTAACAGCGTATTCGTGTTCAAGCCACTGGTACCAAAGCTACACACTCCGTCGCAGCGAAGTAGGGTTGGGGAGCGCACTTGCCAGCAAGTGTATTTTCCAGTGAGTGACACTAAACTTTTTCGTGTGACAGCGCGCAAATGACACTCGCGGCCAAGTGTACTCGCTCAAAATACACTTGTGTTGCCACGTGTGACAGGGGTATTAAACCCTATTTATGTTCAAGCGTCCCTTCCCCGTTTTAGTGTGCAGCTACCGCTTCGTTCATGACCAAGGCAGTTATGCCATCTATGGGTGTATCTGGAAACGAGAGCGTGACCGGCGATGCAGACACTCGTTGTTAGGCACAGCCTTAAATCAGCCCTATGGTTATGAAACAAAATTAGGAAAATAGGGGCAAGCAAGCCTTGGTGTTTGTGTGCGGAGCCTACCGTTTTTCTTTCTTTTTGTCGCATTGTGCTATGCTCCCTCTGCTCTTTTTCTGTCATCCATCCCTGTGCACTCAAACCTCCATATAACGAACCTTGATATAACGAAAAATCAGTTGAAACAAAGTAACCAAGAAATAGTCTTAGAATAGATATACATCCATACCTCATTATAACAGAATTGCACCTACAAGAAAATAAGCCTTTCATATCCAAAAATTAGTTAGACACAGGCTTGGGAATAACCTTACTTTGTTATAACCAATATTTTATTATACCCGTGTTCATTATGTTGAGGTCTGAGTGGAGCGTTAGGAATATGCCTTTACAACTAATTTTCGGATATAATGTTTTTTTTTTTTTTTTAATGTAAGATGCAACTTAGTTTTGAGTGTAATTGAATCTTCAACCGTGTGCCTAGCAGCGCAGCACTCCTGTTGCTACAGGCAACGACGACAGTCATGGATGCGTGCCCAGGTATCTCTGAAATGTGGCAAGGCGGAATGGCTAGTGACTGTGATAAAAAAGTAGGTTTCTGTATGAGAGATGGCTGATCGCCGACCATCCCACAATCGAGAGAGCATCAGGTATGGGAAAATGGCCCATACAAGTATGCACGTGACTTGTGCTCCTTTGAGGGCTGCAGTTCTGTACGCCAACGTTTCTTTGAAGGCTGCAGTTCTGTACGCCAACCCATGTTAGGTTTATTGGAGGTGATGCCGCCACCACCAATTGCCGAAATTTATCGAAGGTTTACTCGGGAAAAAAAATGTGTACAAGGAATATGGCACTGAGATCCCGGCGAGTCATTTTTTGTGGGAAACATGCTATAAAACTCTTCACAATGGCCCCGCCGCGGTGGTCTAGTGGCTAAGGTACTCGGCTGCTGACCCGCAGGTCGCGGGTTCAAATCCCGGCTGCGGCGGCTGCATTTCCGATGGAGGCGGAAATGTCGAGGCCCGTGTGCTCAGATTTGGGTGCACGTTAAAGAACCCCAGGTGGTCAAAATTTCCGGAGCCCTCCACTACGGCGTCTCTCATAATCATATGGTGGTTTTGGGACGTTAAACCCCACAAATCAATCAAACTCTTCACAATGGACGTGCCAACTACAGGAGCTTGAATATAGACTGAGGAACAACTCCAGCCACAACGTAAAGCAATGCCAACGTTTTGGGACCAGTTCAGTCACTTGGGTGTTTGCCGCGTCGATCGGGTCTGTAGGGGCTTCCTTACCACAAGAAAAGAAAAACGGTGGCGTGCTATCGAAAATTTAAGTATGTGCTATGAAAAGGAGAAAAAAAAAGAAACGGTAGGCGGTGCAATGATTGTACCGAAAGTGAGTGAAGACGGTATTGCCCCCATAACGGCCAGGTAGCGCTCGTTAGCCTGCGCTGGTTGACATTAAGAGCCATTCAGTGATAACGAGCTCTGGGAGTGTGCGAGCAGACGCAGCGGTTGAATTTAATCGGGAATCTCTTAGCGCTGCCATCACCTTGTTATAGAAGGTTGGTGCAGAAAGTTGTTTACTGTTAAAGTTTCTTAGATGTTTGAATGCCGTGAATAACTTGAGTGAGGTGCTGTTTTTGACAACTGGCAGTTTCAGTATTTTCTATCAGGAAGAGGGATCATAGAAGCAAATGTGAATACCGTAATCACTCAAATCTAACGCGCACCTTTTTTTCCGGTTAAGCGAGTTCATAAATTGCATGTGTGTTAGAATCGAGTATGAAAAAAAAAAAATGAATACGGTCATTCTATTGCCATCGGCACTTCCAAAATGGCCGCCCCCTACGTGCGTCGGCATGGCGCGTTGACCATTTCTGCCTATATGTTTCTCATGTGCGGCACTTCGTACGTGTGCTGAGGAGTTCGTCATTTTGTAGTGCATTAGCGTCGACGGTATGGAAGGAGCGACTCCAAAAACTCTAGTGCACCACGATGCTGCTTTTAAAGGAAAAGTCATCGCGTGTGTTTAAACGGACGGAAATGGGCCGCATCACGGTCGTTCGGAGTTCCTGAAACGTGCGTGCGGGACTGGGGGAAACAAAAGCTGAAGATTGTCGACAGCAAAGCTTCACGCAAAGGCCTCAGTGGACCACAGCAGGGTCGGTTTCCGCAAATTGAAGAGCTGCTCGGCGAGTATGTGCTTGAGCAGCGAGCGGCCCAGCAGCCCGTGACGACAGAACTGCTCCAAGTGCGGGCTATGCAGTTAGCCTTAGAATAGAAAAAGTGCTAATGCGGAACCAGTTTAGAGCGAGCAGGTGCTGGCTAACTAACTTTATGAAGAGGAAAAGCTTTTCCCTCCGAAGGCGATCGGGCATATGTGAAAAGTTTCGAGAGGAGTACGAAGAAAAGCTTCACAGTTTTCAGAGGTTCGTCCTAAACTTGCGGCTCAACAACGGCTACCTGCTTGGGCAAATCGGGAATGCCGATCAGACGCCTCTTTAATTCGACATGCCTGGCACCACAACCATCGAGGAGAAGGGGGCGAAGCAAGTTCGTGTGCTGACATCGGGCCACGGTAATACTAGAGTGACAGCAATGCTCCGTTGCACGTCAGATAGGCACAAGCTTCCCCCGTACCTCATATTTAAACGGAAGACGCTCTCGAAAGGAGTAATTTTCCCAAGTGGTGTGATCAGATAGGCACAAGCTTCCCCCGTACCTCATATTTCAACGGAAGACGCTCTCGAAAGGAGTCATTTTGCCAAGTGGTGGGATCGTGCGGGCCAACGAGAAAAATGGGTGCGCGTTGCAATCAATGTCTTAGTTGTTTTTTTTCCGTCATGGTAACCGGGTGCGCGTTACAATCGAGGGCGCGGTAGAATCGAGTAAATACGGTAATGTTTACTTTTGTCAGTTCAAAATGCTTTTGGCATATGCTTGCATGCTTGCATGTTGTACGGTGTAGTTGCTGTTCATTACTTGCTGCAAGGAGTGTTTTACGACTTCATAAACTGCCCATTACCTCTTGGAATTCCTAAGTGCCGCTGAATTGTCTCTGTTATTCGTTTGCCTGATGTGCTGTCCTTTTTTTCATTCTTCGTGCTTTAGATGATGCCTTGGAATGTCGATACCATCAGCAAGGAAGGATTTCAAAAGACAGTGAGTTTGCAAACTCTTTGACGTTGACAGCCCCACCAGGTCGCATTCCTGTAGTGGCTACATTATTTGACAATGATTGATTGATTGCGAGCAACGAATAAAAGTGGCATTTAATTAAGGTGCCGAAATTTCTATCGCAGATCTTAAACAAGCCACAGCCAAAGAGGAACTCGTACTGACTGAAGAAGAGAAAGAACAGACCCAGGTAAAAAGAAATGTTGTGCCTTCAAGCATGAAATTTCCGCACTGCGGTGGCTTAGTTGCCACATTGTCTGTAGGCCAACTTTGTGTTAGGTTAAGTACACCAGTGTTGTCTTAGTGTAAGCTCTCGCCGACCTGGCATAGCGCCTGCTGTTCAACAATACTTTAATCTTCGGTTACCCCCCTCCGTGCAAAATGGCAAGCTTTGTTTTTTGTCAGTTTCTGTTCCTGCATGCACGTGTGATGCTTGTGACGTCACGGGCAATGCTTATCGTCACACCCAAGTTGTGAGATTTCTAGTAGCTGCCGTGGCGCTGTACGGTCTGCACCGAAAGTTTAGAGACCACGATATACAAGAAAAAACTGCTGAATATCCCCACTGCATTGGCCGGCAGCCTTGAAAGCAGATTTCCGGCCTAATATAGAATGCGTGTGCTGTATGTACTGTGCAGTTAGACCGAATACAGTTGCATATTGCTGAGAAATTCAATGTTTCTTAGACTTAGTGGCCTTGAAACTTTTGACGTCAACTGTGCCCTCTGTGCATGAGCAGTTACTTTGCATGCCTTGTCCACCTTGACACCACTGTAAGCCAGAACACCATTAGAGGAGTTGCAATGTGACACTAATTCTTAACCGTCACCGTCAATGTCATTTATAAGCAACTCACTTTTTTTCTTAATCGGTATTATGTGCTAATGTGACAGTCGTGTTCACTCTAAAGGGTGGCTATTTGGGCAGGTAATTGTTGCGTAGTTTTAGTGGTCGGTGTACTTCTGAAACAGAAGGAATGGAGGAAAACAGCGAAGAGACGGGTGGTGTAAGTTGGCACCTTTGCTCGGGCATTATAATAATCGGCTCACCCGTAAAATGAAACAAGCTAAAGCTTAGTAAAAAGTCAGGCAGTCGTGTAATTTCGAGTTTGTCAGGCAACGAATTGACGTTCTACTTACGGTAGCTTTTTGCACGAAATAGAGATTATTGGCGTTCCTTAGCGTGCTGGCACATGTATTCCTTGCTTGTTTTGTCAGTAGCACCGAGTACATACGCTTTTTTTGATGTCATAAAATAAAACTGGAAGTTTAGCTCCTCCTTGTGTCCGTCTTGGTGAAAAAATTTGTGAACCCGGGGTTGTTGCTAGAACCTATGTTTCGACAAGTGGAGTTCTCTTCTCCTTGGCAGCAGGAATGAGACGAGGAGCAAAGTTTGCTTGTCGAAACGTTGATTCGAGCGAAACCTGCATTCACAAATCTTTCAACTCTTCACCTTCAAGCACCCTTCTTCCTCCCACTTCTGCTTTTTGTCGACTTCTCTAGGTTTGTTATTCTCTTGGTTCCTTCAGTGTTTCCAAGGTACGATGATTCTTGAAATTGTAGAAATCAATCGTAACGAACTCTGCGAACTTCCCGTTCCTCTTGGTCCAAACTGTTCTCAACCTCATTCGCAGAAAAAGTTTGTGGAGGAGAACGAGCCCCTGCTGAAGCAGTACGGCATGCTGCAGAAGTACGATGACAGCAAGCGCTTCCTCCTGGAGCACCCTCATCTGGCGTGCGAGTACACGGCCAACTACTTGGTTCTCTGGTGCATACGGCTCGAGATGGACGAGGTGGGTGTTGCCATAGGACCTCTTGTGAATACGCTCGACGTAACTCTGGCGCAGGTGTCTGTGGTGGCTGCAATGCACGGCGTTGATGAAGCATGGGAATAATGAGTACTTTGTCATAATCTTCATACTTTCGGCTTCGTTTGGCTTCGCGTGGCTTGGAGCTGCTTTGTCACGAGGCGACAGTTAGCAAATGTTCAGCGATTTCACTTCACCACCTTAAGCTTTTAGGCTCACCAATTCAAGTGGGGTCACAAAGTTCACTTTGATTTGTTCTTTTATTCGCGACAAAACCAAAAACACAGCAATAAACAAAACCACAGGTATGTTTGAAACTCGAGACACGAAGACTAGTCAAACATGTGTGCTATCCACCATTCTCATGGTCGCTGAACAATCGCAGCGCCAGAGTGCCCTCAAGTTAATTTTGGGTAACTCTACGAGTGTTGTTATGCGAATCCGCTGAAAAGCACACCACCTCCTTTCAATGACGAATGGACTTCAGACATAAGTCACTTAGTGCTGCGCCCTTTCTGACGTCTTCACCTTGTCTACCCTCTTTGCAATGATTAGTTATGTCTACCATTAGTTGCAATTGACTAGCTCCACTTTAATCTCTGATACTGCTACTTAACAGTGAAGCTTTTCGTAGGTAACCCTTGAGCAGTGCCGTTGTACATTTTGCGCTGGAGGTGCGCATGTCGTGCACAACATCACTAATGTAGCATTTCAGCAAAGCGGGGGTTAGCAATTTTTTAGCTTTGAACCAGCGAGCTGATGGAATGAGCCACGGTCTCACTGAGATGCTGCTGTACCATTTCAATGCAGCCCTGTTCCAGCTATATCACTGCCCCATAGAGCTTAGCGTCAAATACAGAGCAATGACATAACACCGAGGTACTTAGACAACACTGAAAAACATAGAAATAATTAAAAAAGAGGTTCAAAGAAATAGAAAAGCGGTAGCCTGACGAAGGGGGCATTAACTTCGCTGTTTCACAGAGTAAAGCTTGCTGCATTCTCTACGCACACTCTTAGTGTCTCTTCCTACCATTTTCCAATGAACATTTCAGTGTAATTTTTTTAATACAGCGAAATCTCGACTCAATGAATCTCAAGGGAGTGCAAAAGAATCATTCGTAATTTTAAAAGTCGTTGTAGTGAAAGTATTAAACATTTGCACAAAAATTGTAAATGCAACCACGTGAGTTGCCTACCCGTGCCATGTATACATTCGCTGACCACGCTATAGTGAAAAAACAAACACGAGATATTACAAAACCAGTGCACGTTTATTTGAAGAACGCGACCTACCCTAATGTGGGCAGCTCGATTGCTGAACGACAAACTCGTAAGCGTGTGCATCTTTCCTACGCACTGCGAAGCCTCGACATTAAACACCGATTCTTCACGTTGGTTCGCGTGCGCTTATTCAACGTCATCTTCGCTCTCTTCGCCGTTTTCTTATCACGACTACAGGTGTGGATCTGATCAGTCGTCGGCTGAGCTCGCGTGTACGAGTTGTCGTCGCACTGTTCGTAGTGTTCGAGCCAAGCATGCCCGGGTAATCATTGGGGGCTTCAGTCCCATCGGTCACTCGGCGTCGTATTTTTCGCTGCTGTAGCATTCTTTTCGTGCTGCTTCTGGGGTTCATCTTGAGTGTTCGATCACAAACCAAAAGGCTAGAAAACAGCTGTGTGACAAGCGCGCAGGTACTGTTGTAAAACTGCCCGATCAAAGCAAGGCAACGGGCGAAGCCTGACTCTAAAACGTGTGAAAAGCAAGTAGCAGATGATGGCGATGGGACTATCGCACATTTGAGTTGGGTGGACACACATAAAAATATGCGTGTGCTCTGATGATGATGATAGTGGCAACTACGGAGCGGGCCATTATTTCAACAGCCACGAGTAGCTTTTTAAGATGGGTATTCGTTATTTTGAAGTGTTGTGGAGATACAAAGGGGATAAAATTCGTTACAATATCCTGAAATATTCTGTATTCTGAAGTTCATAGTAGTGAAATATTTTTACATTAGACCGATGGACATTCGGAGGGGGGTTTTCGAAAAACTTGCTAATCTGAAAACATTGTTAGTCTGAGGTTGGATCTAACGAGGTCTGACTGTATATTCACTACAAGGCTTGTAAAAAAAAATAGAAATATGGGGTTTAGGTTCAAGTTCACATTTCCATTGGGTGCATATGACGTTGAAGCATAACTTGGCACAAAGACGAAACCTCCGTCAGGATAACTGGTGAGAATTAGTCGAAGTTACAGTGATTAGAACATTCGTCTCAGCTGGTTTCAAATTTTTTGAGCGGCCTCGCCCCCCTTCTCCGCCATAGGGAGGGGAAGGGGTAGCTCGTCGTCGTAGCTCCTCCCACTTCGGCAGCGCGGCTTGACGTCAGCGATGTGCCATGGGAGCGCAGCCAAGGACCTATCAGGGTTTACCCGTGCGTGTCGTAGTGGCGCGGGGAGCAAGGTACTGTGAGGAGCATCCTTCCCTGTAGCAGTAAAGTAGTGAGACCCCTCTTTATCTTGGAGGCATTCATTCTGGCAATACAGTCAAGCCCGCCTATAACGAACCTGAGCCTGGCACGGCATCCATTCGCTGTATCTCGAAGGTCGTACTAAATGAAACCCAGCTTTTAAAGAAGTTGCGAGTGGAAACACAAAATGTTTTGCCCAAGAATGTCCGTGATGCACTTGTTTCGAAGAGCAGAAGTCATAACAGCGGTCTCGAGTTTATTTCAAACGGCAGCGTGCTCTCTGCTGAGGCCCATGGCATAAGCTGCATGAGGCACTGGCTGCAAAGTTTTGCTGTTCTCGCAATCCGATTTTCCTCCAAAAACGCTCTTGCCTGCGTAATTTATTCACAATGCCCTAATCCGTGTACGGTTCCACGGTGTCGGCATCATCATCGGTCAAATGAAACCATCGCAACAGATGTCCCACCCGCTCTCCCATGTCGGAGTCAACGACGCGCTGCCAGAGATCGCCCCCTCAGTGGTTGGAATGGAGGGTCAGCATGGTGCATAGCGATGTAATATTCGGAAAATGTGATCACCGAGGTCTACTGAGCAAATTGGCGAAGCTTGTTAGAGGGGTGTACAAAAAAAAAAAAAAAGTCTGAGCCTGTTTACTGGCCTTTTAGTCTCTTGCGAAGTTGCACTGAAGAAAATTGCCTGCCGTATAATCCGGAGCAAGCACTCCCTTCCCTTTTCCAGGAAATTTCAAATATGCAGCCTATTCTCCCCTTCTACTATTTTCACTGCTTCATTCGCTGGCTTAATTCGCCCAACGAGGACGTATGAAAAACAGTGAATGCATGCAAATTCAAGAAAGCATTTCATTAGAAGCAAGAGTGTGCACTCTTCATTCTCAGATCATCCACTGCCATCTTGAATTTTGGTCTGTGACCTAGCAAGGCCCCGTCCCTCCTATTTAATATTGTGAATAGTCCTTCATGATAGCAGGGGGGTGGAGGGCGCATGCTTGAGATTTTACGGTAATTATTTGATCGCATCATTTCATTCCGTGACTTAATATTCACTTGCAGAAGGGGATGAAATAGCGAAGATAACGACACCATAATTGTGTTGGCCATGTGTTTCAGTTCTTTTTGCTCCGTGAGACAGCGACAGCTGTGAGTTGCAGATTAGATTTGTTGTTAACTTGTCGCCGACTCGTGTGGTATCGCTAGAGAGACGCGCCGGCTCTCAGTGCTTTGATTCTTCTGCCTCATGCAGAAACACGACCTTATGTGCCACGTCGCCCACCAGTGTATCTGCATCCAGTACGTCCTGGAGCTGGGCAAGCAGCTCGAGGTGGACCCACGATCCTGCATTTCTTCGTTTTTCACGCGGTGAGTTCGAGGCACACTATAAACTTGAGGTTCGGAGTTTGAGTGCTGGCAGCAGCCAGCCGTTTTCCGGCAGGCACGCAATGCCATGATGCCACATGTTAACGTAAATGTCAGAGAACGCCAGGCGATTGTATTTAATCGAACAGTGTCGAGGTTTGTTATTCCCATGCGGTTTGAATGATTACAACTCAACTTTTGACAGTGATGTTGCGGATAGGAGCACAGGACGGTGGTTGTGTTCCGATGCTCACTGTGGATGGCACAGTAGACAGATAGGTGGACAGTAGCAGGCTTATTTTCCATTGCATTTGTTACATGGCTGGTAGAATGGAGAACATTACCAAGAGAGCATCGGAGCCTTGTATGATTTCGGCTACCTTGTTGTCCAAACAACACTGAAACCTTAATATAACGAACCTGGATATGACAAGATATTGGTAAATGATATTACAAGATATGGGCGAACAAGTAAATGAGAAACAGTCGTGCAATAGATAGTATTATGAATACACCTTTATAATGAATTTTCGGATAGAATGAACTAGGCCTGTGTGAATAGTGAATTTTAGGTTCGAAGTGAATAGTGATTTTAGTCAAATAATTTCGAATCGAATTCAAATTGAATATATGACGTATAAAAAAATGGGCACATTTATCATGACCTAACTAACCTGCACAATATTTTTTTAAACAAGTCCTCTAAGCTTTTGTTATTTTTTTCAATTCAAAGAAAGTCCAAACAACTTTGAGAACTAGCAGGATTTGACTTCCAGTTGGATGCAAGTGATAACCTGTAAAATACGTAACATTATTCATTACAGCTTGAGTGTATAAGCTGGCAAGACAAGCTTCTAAGCTTATAAAGTTATCAGTCGTTTTGAGGATATGTTCGTTTGAAGGGACCCTGCAACAGTTTTTCAAGAAGTGGATTTACTAAAGAAGCCTATTGCCTTATGAATTTTAGAATCTGTCCACTATGAGCGGGGTCGCGAAAATTTGCCTACATGATACAATCTGCATTCTCTCTTCTCGTCTTGACGGAAGCGCTTGAAGCAAAGCTGGGAGAGATGGCATAGAGAAAGAAAATACATCACGTGCGTGTCGTGAGCTTGAGCACTGTTTCTCTCTATTTTTTTTTTCTCTTTGGATATGCAAGGTTTTCAGTGCAATCGGCGCATGTACGCATGGACATGTCGCGGCCGCCCGCAGCTGCCCCAGTATCGATCGAGCGCCCCATGCTCAAATCAAGCAATGGCTGGTACAATGGCTGTGACGAGCGATTTTTGACATTGTGGTGTCATTTACTAAGAGAGCAGTTTTTATTTGACTTTGAGAATTTATTGTGAATTCCAGGTCGGGCGGGCTGCGTTATAAGTTCGCGTGTTGTCGGTAGCCTCGGACTACAGATCGGCAGCGTTTGCTGACCATGCTCTAAAAGTGTTGCAGGGCCCCTTTAAATTTGAAGTGGGGCTTCGCGGCAAAGGAAATTTCTCTTGGATAGGTGCTTTCACGGCTTATCACCTCTGCACTGCAGTGAAACCACCTTTACAGGCGGTTACATGCGGTTTAGTATACACCTATTCGTTCATGTCGTATACTCCGAAATATTCGCTAATTTAAATTCGAATAGAAGCGAATTCGAATACTCTACTACTAGTTCGAATATTCGCACAAGCCTAGAATGAACTTAGTTTTTGTGCAAGAACTTCGCTTATGACGTCTGAGTTAGATAGATGGTGGTAGGAAAGATGACTAAAAATGGTGTCCGAGTAATATGCCAGATGGTAACGAAGACATCTTCAGGATTTGTTAAGGAACTAATCGGAGTAGCGTTATAGATTTCACACATTTTAACACAAAATAATGTCAAAAGCATTGTGATTTTACTAGAAGTCTTTAGCTTTCTCGTGTCTTCGCGAGATGGTGTCGCATCTTGCAGATTTCATGCAGTCGTGTTTCAACGTTGAGGCAACTCTGTCTCAACAGTGTCTTCAAATGCTGTCAGTGTACACAGTCCGAGGTTCTGTCCGGCATAGGAGTGCAACCAAAGACAAGTGCATTCTTCCTCTTTTGCTCTTGAATTTCTTCTCGATTTACAATGATAGGTGGACTTGGAACCCCTGACTATGTTCAGCGTTGACAAGTTCCAAACGGATGCTGTGAAAGGCATCTGAAGTGCTGACTGCCAGTCGATCAATCGGTTGTTTCTTGACCAATAGCATTCAGATGGCTGACCAGGTGTACAAGGACGCATTCGAGGACGAGCTGAAGGGATTCAAAGAACGGGTCCAGCTGAGGGCACGCGAGAAGCTGGAAGAAGCAGTCAAGGAGATCGAAGAAGTGAGTGTCAGTGAGTGTGAAGAAGTGAGTGAGACATTCCATCATTAGCATGCACGCCGTCATGGCACTCTTTTCAATGAGGCAGTGTGATAGCTCATCTATGGGTGCATGTCTGAAGTGCGTCACGAGATCACCGAACCGGTGTAAGTAGCTTCACTAGTGGAAGCTGAAGGGATCCCACAGCATCAGCTCTATCGCTCTAGCTGTATCGCCAAACCGATTCGAGACATGGCTAGGTGCGTGCCAGACACAGAAAAGCGGTTTTTGAACTCCATTGAACCACTTTATAAGAGACGCTCACCTGGGAGTATTTCTTGTTCCTTATGAGAGGGTTTTTTTTATAGCTGGGTACCGCTTTCTCATTTTCTGATCATATGTTGGCCACAGTAGTGTCCCTTTTCAACCAGTTGTTTCCTGCGTCGGTGTCTATATAAAGGTATGCTACTGTACTGTCGAACCCAAATCGATCAAATCTGAAGAGGATCAAGAAGAAATTTCTATACAGAGATAATTCGATACATAATACATGTTATATATAAAAATATATTCAGGAGGACTTCGCAATCTTGAAATGCAGAATGATTTGTTATATGTGAGTTCGACTGCAACAAGTCCACAGTGGGAATGGAAAGAAACACAAACATGCTGCATCTACATTCTCCGCAGTTTCGCACTTATTTTCAAGTGGTTGTAGCTCTGATGGTGATAAAAATCCACTATTGTTATCCGTGACATGACCAAGAACTCATCTAGCAGCTTTTTATTGCCACCAAGGTCGGAGCGTGATAAAAACCGCATGCCGTGTTGTTCACGTTTCTCTCTGTCCTGTACCTCCATTCACTGTCCTGGCGCCATATATCGGCTGATGGATAGTGGAAGGCTGTTGCTTTACTCCAACACGCAACCTCCCACTGATTTGCACCCAGTTATTTAGTTGGCTGGCGCACCGTGCGCCACATGCATTATAGTATTTCCCTGGAGTGATTTCTAGTTTTTGTTCGCTCTGTATAGACAAATTCCACAGGAATTGCGTCACGTAAATGTGGTGGCGCGGTCTTGGTAGGCAAAAGACGCTCTGCCTACTGCAGTTTCTGCTGGGTTTTCAATGGTGCATGTGGTGTTCTCAGTGAAGCAACGAGGGAAAAAAAAAACGGTATGCCGACGAGCTGCGTCGCGGTGAGATACGAGTCGCGTCTCACAACTTAGTTTTGTTTGTTGGCGCACATCGCAGCCCTCAGCACTTATGGCGGAAGTTACGTGCGGACGTCGCTATAATTTTACCCATAATGTCGACATCGGCCTACCTGTGTGTACAAACATGGAATGGGTCTATAGTTTCTAGTCAGGTGGGAATACGGTCGGCTCTCGTTAATTTTAACTTGAAGAGACCTCTGAATTTTGAATTATCAAGAAGTTTGAATTATCAGAAATTAAATGACTCAGATAGATGACTCTGGGTGAGGTGACACCACAAATTATGATTAGGCATTCATTTTATCACGTTTAAAAATTTTTGGGTGTGTTTAAGCGCTAACTGCATGTTGTGAACAGAAAGCAGAAGTGTAAACTCCACAAGTTTAGTGGCCATTTACTGTTGATCGGACTTTTCCTTTCAGTTTTAGTTTATTCATTCGTTCAAAATACAAAATTCGTAGAATGTAGTATGCAGACGAGGGTCCCAAAGTCAAGCGACTGCAGTGGGACCCTCGGTTAACAATAACAATAAAATTATGAATTATAACAGCACGTAAAATACGCAACACAAGTGAAAAGTAAACAGTGAACTTACATAAAATAACATCAAGTAAACAACGAAAAGGCAGTCGGAATGCGACACAAGAACAATAGTAATAAGTTATACAAGTAAAACATAATCACACCATTAAGCAATAACCTAAATTTGCAAAGACTTACCAATTTCATGCCCGTATACATAAGAATCGTTAAGTAATCATCGTTGTCAACCTAGTTATGCAAGATGAAGTTTTTAAGTTCACGTTTGAATGCATGAAAAGATGATGATGATTTTAGTGTATAGGGCAGGTTATTCCACAATTTAATGACCGCGAAGGCGGACGTCATTTTGCTATAATTGGTGTTACATTTAGGTAAAAGGAAGTTGTGACTGTGGGCGAATCTAGTGCTATTGGTGTTAATGAGTAAACTAGCATCGATTAAATCAAACACAAGCTATTTGTTAAGTTGTTTATATAACAATATGATTAAGTGAAAATTAAATAAGCCAGACACAGTAAGAATACAGTTAGCCTGAAGGAGTGGGGTAGCATTAGAATAAAATGAAATGCTGGTAATAATGCGAATAGCCTGATTCTGAATGTGCTGTACAGACGAAATATGAGTGTTATATGTATTTCCCCATGATGTAATGCCATAGGTGATGTGACTATGTATGAAGGCAAAGTATAAAGACAATAAGGCTTCAAGTGAAAAAAAAAGCCTCATTGCTATAGAACTGCTAAAAAACCTCATTGCTATAGGTATGTGCCTTCAGCACAAAGCTCCCTGCACCGGTTGAAAAGCATCGCGGTTTACAATGCATGTGCTTCGTTTCAAGCATTTGTTTGCAAAGCCTTTTTTTCTTGAAAGCCTCAGGTGCTTATTTTTCTTTTTTAGATTGTTAGGATTGTATAACCCCACAAATTTTTAAATAGTAGTGTGAAAGCAGCTGATATTTTTTGGTATCGACCTGCAAAAAGTATGAATTCACTGAATGATGAAGTTTGAATATAGAGGCTTTTTAAATACATGGAAAGAATAGAGGGCCAAGCAAAAAATTGAATTTTGTTTGCAATTAACTGACAGCATAAATTTTGTGGTTATTCAAACGGCTTTATTTTTAGCCTACCCTGAAAATTTCATTAGAATATCTCAACAAACAAAAAGTTGCCCTTCCATGGTGGACTCCCCCCTTAAATACAGCTGTGTAAGTTGCTGTGCAACACAGTATTCAATAAGGCACTAGTTCCCATCCCGTCGAAGCTTCAGGACGTGCTCTGTCACTGCAGTGCTGGCTTGGAAAGAATGTGCGGCTGCGTTCGACTCACCCATGTGACGTGATTACTTTAGCCCTGTACATCTTTCTCAGTAAACGAAAAGTGTTAAATGGAACGCGTTTTTTCCTCAACTGCTTTTGATTTCGTTTAAAAAGATTGTGCTGTACACGCAGTGTAATGTGTATTTGAAACTTGTGTGTGCACCTACGTCTGTTGAATAAAGGGAAACCAAACTCGCAGGAAGAACGGCAGGAGAGGCTAGGACCTGGCGGCCTGGACCCAGTCGAGGTGTTCGAGTCTCTACCAGAGGTGAGTTGTGTTGGCCTTTCTTGTCCTCCACAATGTTCATGCTTCGCGATGAATGTTGGAACCTTTGAATGCTTCGTACACATCTGTACACACCTCTCGTCTCTGCTAGCTGTGTTCAAGAGGGTCAGAGAGAGGACAAGATACATTAATTTTTTTATCAATTGTACCTGTTTCATGACAATTCTCTTGTTTTTAACTTCATTTTGCTGTGTACTTTTGCCATTCATAATCACTTCACCGCTATACATAAGCTCTTTAAGAAAAAGTGATACTCATAATTTTTATCCGCATGCAAATATACATTCAAACCTCAACACAACGAACCCAGATATAACCAAATATTGATTATAAAGCCTGAAATAAAAGCTAGTCTTGCAATGTATGCAGCGTTAGAAATAAACCTTTATAACGAATTTTATGATGAGTTGAGAACCTGCTTATACCAAACCTCCATATAACAAATTTCCCAACCATAACAAAGTTTTTCTATTTTTGGCACTTGCTTTATAGGAGCACATGTATTTGTGACCGCTATGTAACGAAGTAACAGCGGGAGACATTCTTGATACAGCGGATTTCTGTCGCGGGCAATCTAGGAATTTTGCCCCGGATTTTGTCATTTTGGCATGCCTCTTCCGCGGTTGCGCCGCTGCCGACGAAGCGGCACGTACGGCGAGCTTGTGGCCTTGGCGACTCCCGGGCAAGAACGAGTGCTCGTTATGGCCGGGTCTGCTACCTACGAGCCGGCGTTGCCGCCGTTCTTGCCGCCGCAGGCGCATGCGGAGATGTACCCTCCAAACAAAAAAAAAAAAAAAAACATTTGGCTTGGCAGTGCCACACTTTTAGTTAGTGTCACATATGTGGAGTTGCCCTGCATATGGAGGGCGCTCTACCAAATAGTTGTCCGTGGTATCTGTGTCGTTCGCGCTTTGTTTTTGACGCCGTGCGTGCGTCCATGGTTTCAGTGCATGCGCATGGTGTAGCCCCCGTTTTTTTTTTAATGCAGACAATCGTGTCGTCCTTACAGAGGGGATGTCAGATTAGGGATCGTAGCTTTCGTGATTGGCCGACTACCTGCGACAACAACATGACGGCCTGTGCAAGCCTTGCAATGAATGCAATAGCAACAAATTGTAATGTTATAAGAAGGCTGGTAGCCAAGTCTTTTGGATCCGATAGCGGAACTCCTTCAAAGCGTTGGTGTAAGAAAACACAGGCACTCCATGAAGAAGTGCTCTTTTCGCACAGTCCCTTCACATTGAAAGTGCAAAGCTGATACTTGCCGAGATAGCACGCACCAATGCCCTTGAAATCAAAGTTCACCGTTGCTACTCGAAACCCCCCCCCCCCCCACGTTTTTTTATGCTCGTTCAAGGCGAGTAGTTTTCTTTCTGTTTGAGCATTTTACGGCAGTTCTTATCAGTTTGGACTTATTGCGGAACATGGTGGCGACAGCGAAAACTTGTCGACAGTGTTCATATATTTGCTCTCGCGATAGCAACACGGTTTTTTACCACTAAATAAGTGTTTTGGTTAGCTCTGCCTTGAGTTCCCCTTTTGTTTAATTCCTGCATTTTTCTCCTTGAATTTGTACTGAACCTGCATGTAATGAAATCCTATATATAATGAATTTTTCTGGGAATTTCTCAATTTTGTTATATCCAGGTTTAACGATAACAAACTTATTTTAGAGTAAGGTGAAACTTTGGTATAATGAGGCTTGAGTGTAACTGTTCACTCAGATTATGTGAGTGTTCTAGACGTGTGACCATAAATGTGCATGAGCACTTGAAAGCAATTTCCAAGTGTAAATGTTACTTTTCTTAGTAAACGTTCAGTTTCAAGTCGGTGCTCTTCTTAGACTTTTTCTCTTTGTTTTGTCCGCATTGAAAATTCCGCGCTGTTCGTGACGAGATGACTGATCACCCTATCACCCAAATGCGCATCTTTCCAAAGCATTCATTGCTTGCGTCTTTGATTGCACTAGCTACATACAGTCCAACCCCAATATAATGAACACGGATATAACGAAACATCGGTTATAACAAAGTAAATGAAAAATAGTGTTGCAATAGATGCAGTGTTAGGAAAAACCTTTGTGACGAATTTTTAGATATAACGAACTTAACTTTTTTGCAAGATACAAATTTGTTATAATCCCGGCTGCGGCGGCTGCATTTCCGATGGAGGCGGAAATGTTTTAGGCCCGTGTGCTCAGATTTGGGTGCACGTTAAAGAACCCCAGGTGGTCGAAATTTCCGGAGCCCTCCACTACGGCGTCTCTCATAATCAAATGGTGGTTTTGGGACGTTAAACCCCACATATCAAATCAATCAATCAAATTTGTTATAATAAGGTTTGAGTGTACTTTGTTGTGCAGTCGCTGCAGAAGTGCTTCGAGTCTCGCGACCTGGACATGTTGAAGGAGGTCATCGCCACCATGCCCGAGGAAGAGGCCAGGTACCACATGAAACGCTGTGTCGACTCTGGCCTCTGGGTGCCCGACGCCAAGAACGCGGAGGTGGCTCCGCAGGAAGCGCAAGAAGCGTCTTCCGAGGCGTCGGGCGCCGAGTGAACGAAAGAGCGACGGTCACAGCTACGACGGCCTGCGTCGAACGGGGTGAGTCGGTGTGAAAAACTCCCGCGGCTTGCTTCACGTTGTGAGGTCCCAGTTGAGAGGTGTATAGAGAACAGGATCAGTGGGGATACTCCCATACCAATAAACATCACATATTTTACCACTTATAACTTGGACATTACATTTGCTTCTTTGAAATATTAGGCAAGTAAGTTGGGTTATGGGAAAATTCCTCTTTTTTTTTTTTTATCCAGTAGACTCATTGAATTGAACCTGAAGGGGCCAGGAAAATATGTTCTATTTAACAGGAGTTCAATTTACTGAGAGACGAACAAGGGTACCAAATACAAGCAGGGCTGTCAGGTTGAAAAGACAAAAAAGAGCCTAATAATTGGGGTGAAAAAAAACTAGCCGAAATGTAGCCATCCTGAGCCAAGGGCAGTAAAGGTAGCCAAAACTAGGCAGAATTTGTGAAAACCACTTTCACATTTTTATGTAAGTGACTAAATGCAAAGGCCTTTCGGCAAACATGTGTAAATATTTGCAGTGCTAACACTTATAACCCATAACTGCTGAGGTTCTAGCAAAAACTGCTGACTTTAGCAATTGTTTGGTGCATGAGGACACATGTTGGCACCATTGAACGAATGACTATGCGCGCTCTCGCACGTCTTTCCTCGAAAGAACTAGAAGTTGCTACAACAACAGAAAGGCCTACGGCATGATTTAACGCCCTCAAAATCACAATTGCTGACATTGAAGCGTAGATTATTGCTTCTTTCGCAATAGTTTATGACGAATCCAGAATCGCAGTCCGTGCACAGCGTAAGAAATGATACAGCTAGTTCATCAGATGTCCTGGAATAATTTATGGTCAAGAGTGCACGACATTTTAAAGTTAGCGCTGAAAAACAAGGATACAAGAGGTAAAGGTGCCTGCACTAGTGCTCACTAACAACTACTTGTGTTGCGCTTGTGTTCCGCTTGTGTTGCAGCCTTTGCCTCTCGTATTCAGTGGTCACACGAATGGTGGGATATCCGATCGCCAATGTCGGCGAGTGCAGGTCGTTCTGGGTGCGAAGTGCTTTCGGTTGCTGTCTACTTCCGACTGTAGTTTGAAACTGCGTTCAGTAGTGGGTGGCCTACAAAACGAGGCACCACGCAATAGTTCCCGCCGAGTCACAGCCACATATCGCAATGCCTTTTGCATGTGTGAAGCCTCCTTTAGTGGCAGTTTATAAATTTTTGGTACACTTAAACCTCGTTATAACGAAGTTGAAGGGCAGCCACAATTATTTCGTTATATCGATTATAACAGTTTGTTGCAATGTATGCTCAGATAGGCGCACACGTATAAGCATGCAAAGAAAGAAACCGCCTCACGGCTTGATGTACCACTACGCGACTACACATGCCACGGAAAACAAACGCAGTCAAATCTCATTAATTCGAACTTCTGGTTAATTCCAACTCGCGCTGAGGTCTCGTCAAAGCTATGTGTATTTCAACGGGCGAAAACGCCTTCTAATTTGAGCGCGCAAGCGCTTGGGACGGTTCATTCGAACATACAGAGCTCCGAAAATGCTCTCCGCACCACGCCCAATCCCGCAGCGGCACCTCTCAACGCTGTGCACGACGAAGGAAAAGAAGAAAAGGAAAGAAAAGACTGTGACGGATTGTTTGCTCTCTCTCAAATGCCGATCTGCGTCGCGCCTATGCGACGCTTCTCCCTTTTCCGTCTCTGCACGTAGAGACCCTTCTCCTTTCAATGCCGCGCGCAAGGAGAGAGGAAAAAAAAGAAAGCTGTCGCGGAGAGTCCTGCTTTCTTGATACAGAGGGTAGCAGCCATGGTAACAGCAGAGACTCAGTCATTGCCGTCGGGAGAGGGAAATCGCTTTGCACCGCAGCACCGCTTCTCAGTGATGTGACCCGCTGAGCGCTTCCTCAATACTCTCGGCTGGCTGTGTGAGGAAGACGGCTCTCTCGGCCGTGCGGTGCGTGGCTGTAAGGTCGGCACTGGAGTTTTCAAGAGTCGCGCCGAACAAGCGTCAAAACTCCACAGAAAACTATATACTTAACATGGTTGGTTTTTTTTTTTTGATAGACTAATTTAGTGTGTTATATCCACTTACCGGTCAATTATACTTCGTTACAAGGTTTAAAATGCATGGTTCTGAATGGAGCTTTCAAGGGGAATTTCATTTACTTTGTTATATCTATTATTTCGTTTTATCCCATTACGTTATAACGAGGTTTGAGTGTATTTTAATATACTTATGTTCTCATGGCCATCACTGACCCGTGTGCCTGCTTGGGCTGCTGCACCGTCCTCTTCATTAAAGTTTTTTATCTTTATAAGCGAAGTGTCTAATTCGATTTTGGGAGCGGGAAGCATGCTTTGGCTGCCATGTTTGGCGCCATCACTCGAGCAGCACCGCTGCGACGTTACGATGTATCGATAACTTCGATTAAATCGAGGGGACATGAAGGTAGCCAAAAAGGATCCAAGTTGCCAAGACGATTTTTATGCCGCCACAGACCCCCCCCCCCACAAAAATAGCCAAATCGGTGCAGTGTAGCCAAACCTGGCAACCCTGATTTGTACATGTACAAAAGAAGCAATCTCATCAAAAGCACTTGTTCTATTTATCATATATGTTCGTGTAAGGGCCACCCTTTCTTTCTGCGGTTTGGAGGGGGTTGGGCCCTTCTAAGAAAGTAAAATTTTTGTTTAATTTTCAATCCACATATGGAAAATTTAATCATGCAATGGAGAGCTATCTGGTGGGCTTTCTGGCGTCTAGCTGCTGACATTCTTAGATGTCTTCATTGGTATCGCTGCTTGGTCTCGGCTCAAGGGTCAATGGTCGGTCAAGGGTCAATCTCTCAGAAAGTGCCGTGTGTCTAAGCTCACAGATAACGCCACGTAACAAAGTCGCAGGACAGCTATTGCCATCCGGTAGCTCCCGCAAAATGCTCATATGGGAGACGTGACAACGCCGCGGTTTGTGGACAAGATTTTTATTTTTATTAATTTTTTTCGAAATGTTGACTGCCAAGTTGGGGGAAGCGGCCCTTACACTAGCACAGCCCTTAGTCGAGTGTATACAGCAAACAGAAGTTCCATTTAAAGGGATTTTGTTTGATGAGTCTGCTGTAAATATGGCATTTAAGCTATTTAAACAATAGACTCCGTAAATGAAAATATCTCGGAGGGAATTACTGCTTAAATGGGACAACTGCTTGCAGCACGATTGGCTTCATACTTGGCTTCTCCACCCTTGTTCATCTCTCAGTAAATGGAACTCTATTTAAATGGAACACATTTTCCTGGTCCCTTCTGGTTCTCTTTAGCGAGAGTCTACTGCATTTGATTAATATTCAGTTCAAATTTCTCAAGTTTTCTATTCGGCCATACCTAGATTTGACTTTTTGCATGCAAGTACAGTAATACCTCGTTAGCACGGAAATTGTAGAAACCCACGAAAATTTCGAGGTAAGGGGACATTCGAGGTAAACAAATTTGCGCAAATTGCCGGGAAAATCGGGCGCTTTTCGGGAAAATGGGTACTACTTACCAGCTCTTCAGCAGCAGTTTCTAATCTTCTTGTGAAGGTTTAAAAGTAGGTGGGGGGGGGGGGGTGGAATACTAAAGACGTTAACCCACTGGGTATCACGGCACTGCCATTTTATTTAGCAGAGAAAAACTGTCTAATGCTCATCTGCTTTGCAGTCATACTCAGGTCTAAGAAGGCACTTGCCATCTGCTTGACACATCACTTAAGCCAATCTACCCTACCACTGCACTGCACCTCATTTTAAACCAGGTGCAGCAAATTTCTTATTTGAGCATATGTCGGAACTTTTCGAGGAGGTATGTCGTCGCCTGTGTCAGCGGGCGGTTGAACGATCTTGGCGTGCTTCATTTCTTGGTCATATGCATGTCCTGCTTGCACAGCAAGTACTCGGGGAAAAGTTGTCACTTTTGGCTGCATTGTCATTTGTAAGCTTGATGACCTCTTGACAGAGTTCCTCACACTCTGTGAAGTCATCTGTTTCCACTTCTGGCAGGCTGGTGGCACGTGAAAACTCGGCGTGCTCAAAGCCGCTGCGCGAACTCTCTGCCAGGTATTCTTGTGAAGATGCTCTGTTCCCAGCAGGTCAGTTCTGTGGCCTTTGCCATTTTCATACGACAACTAAATTATGTAGAGCAGGCGATTGCGGTGGATTTTTCTGGCAACTTTGATGATACCTTGATCCATCGGCTGCACCACAGACATCATGTTTGCTGTCAGAAACTCGACTGATTGTTGGCCTAGTTCGTACTTGCTTAATGACATACTTTGGCCGCAAATATCACAAACACAGAGCAAAGGAACACACAACGACAAGGACCAGCGGTACTTCCAACTAAAGTAGACCGAGCGCAAACCCAGACTTAAGTAACAACATACAGACTTGCGCAGTCTTTACACAGCCTTACGCTATCCAGCTGTCAAACCATCTCTTCTCGGATATGCACAACGTCACCAATGTGTCGCTGATACACCTTTCTCCTTTCTTTTTAATGTAATAGGCTTCCGTCAACTCACGTCCAGTTTTATACCTACTTCTACGTATATTCTTAAACTCTTTAAAACGTGGTACATACCAGCAGGCTTTGCAGTGCATAGGCAAATGTGCCAAGCCATCCTTCATTAAATTTGATTCGTGGTCACAATGTACGAGTTGCCACAAAAAAGGGGAATCTCATAAACCACGCCTGTGACACATTTTCCTTATGCTGTGCCATGTTTCTCGCCGCATCCCTGATGGCTCACCTCCTCCCGAGCAGTTCTCGGGCACGGCTGAGCCAGTTTTACTAGTGGGGAAAAGGCGACAGGTACCCCATCCCTATTTACGAAGTGTTTCCTGACGGGAAGAGTACCAGAATCTTGGAAGAGTGCTAACATCATCTTAATACATAAAAAAAGAGATGACAGGGACTTGAATAATTACAGGCTGATCAGCTTGCTCTCCGTCGTATACAAGCTATTTACAAAGGTAATTTCTAACAGAATCAACATAATATTAAAATTCAATCAACCAAAGGAACAACCCGGATACTATCAATCAATCAATCAGCTAATACAGAAATGCTCAGAATACAGCCAACCACTATACATAGCCTTCATAGATTACGAGAAGGCGTTAGATTCAGTAGAAATATCCGCAGTCATGCAGACACTGCGAAATTGGGGCATCGACGAAGCATATGTAGACATCCTGGAAGAAATCTTCAGGGAATTAACTGCCACCATAGCGCTCCATAATGAAAGCAACAGAATACCGATCAAGAAAGGTGTAAAGCAGGGGGATTCAATATCTCCAATGCTAATTACTGCGTGCTTACAGGAGGTGTTCAGAAGCCTAGAATGGGTAGAGTTCGGAATAAGAGTTAATGGAGAGCTACCCTAGTAACCTGCGGTTCGCTGATGACATTGGCATTGCTGAGTAACTCGGAGGTGAATTCGCAACTCATGATTACAGGAGTTAGGCAAGGAGAGCAGGAAGGTAGGTCTTAAAATTGATCTGCAGAAAACGCAAGTAAGTCTACAACAACCTGGGAAGAGAACAGTGCTTCAATATAGGTAATAATGCACTTTGAAGTTGCAAAAGACCTACGTCTACGTAGGACAGGTAATAACCGTGAAGCCCAATCATGAGATTGAAGTAACTAGAAGAATAAGAATGGAGCGGACCACATTTGGCAAGCACACTCAAATTATGACAAATAGATTACTACTATCCCTCAAGAGGAAGCTATGTAACAGCTGCATCTTGCAGCTACTTGGTTACGGGGCAGATACCTGGATATTTACAAAGAGGGTTCAGTTTAAATTGAGGATGACGCAGCGAGCGATGGAAAGGCAAATGGTAGTTAAGAGACAAGATGAGAGCGGAGTGGATCAGGGAACAAACTGGGGTTAAGGATATCATAGTTGAAATCAAGAATAGGAAATGGACATAAGCTGGGCATGTAGACAGGCGCGTAGACAGGATAATCACTAGGTCATTAAGGGTAACTGACTGGACTCCCAGAGAAGGCAAGCGGGTTAGGGGGAGACAGAAAGTTAGGTGGGCAGATGAGATTAAGAAGTTCAGGTGTAAAGTGGCAGCAGCAAGCACAGGAACGAGTTGATTGACTGGAACATGGGTGCCATGCCTTTGTCCTGCAGTGGACGTAGTCAGAGTGATTATGACCTCATACTGGTCTGCTACCTTTTTCTAGGTTGTAGGAGACCTTACAAACATAAAGAATCACTGCAGGTCTTACGGTTTGGGTTTCTTGTTCCCCCTTGGCAGCTCCTAGTACCTACCTCACTCTGCTGGAGAGCCAGTTTAAGATAAAAGGGCAACAAATACATAGGACGTATAGAAAAAAGTTCGGTTCCCGGAAAAATTTCGACTTTGCCGATATTTTTATGCGCTTTTCCAGTGTGCAAGTTTGAGTTAACGAGGTATTACTGTATAAACTAACTGTGGCTACTGTGTGAATGAAAAAAACTGAAATTTATATATTACTCTTTCCCTTTTTTTCTCTGTAGATAAACAAGCAAAGAAGTGCAAGGAAAGAGAAAAAAGAAAAATTCACATGCCTGGGGGCATTCTTGCGCCGTGTCCGACGAAATACCTTCAATAACAAGGACACAGATTTGCAGTTCGTTTATGTGCTTTAGTATTTCTTTTTTCGTTGCGCTTTTGCAGTGTACATAGCGGAGAGCAGTTACTCTTATTTTTCTTCTCTGCACTTTCCTAGTAGAAACGTCGTTTTAACCCTTAGGTGATTCCGCATATGGAAAAAAAAATAAGCTAACAGAAAGACCACACTTGAGTGGTAGTAGCCATGAGAAGTTGGAGACACACTGTTCATTTTCGCACGCAAAAGAATCTTGCTGGAAACACGTATGCACTTCCACGCCGAACTGTTTCTTGTGCTTCCTAGTGGGTGGTCCACAAATGCAAATCGCCACTGCAAGTTAAAACGAGAATCGAAACTGTCGAGCGTTGTAAATGTTTTATGTAAAAAAATTTTTTGTGCTGAAATAAAAGAGTTGCATCACAAACATCTTCTGCTGTTTGCCTTGTGAGAAAGTTTGTTCGTCTTTTCTGTTTTATTTTTTTGTAAATATGCTATATAATAATAATAAATAGGTTTTAATATCCCAAAACCATGATATGATAATAGAAGCTGTAGTGGAGGGCACTGGAAATTTCGACCGTCTGGGTTTCTTTAACGTGCACCTATACTCGGCGACAACTTTTCTTAGCACTGAAGAGAAAGCTACGGAGGCGGAGCTTGTGCACCTGTAGCACTACGCGAAGTAGTCCGTTTTGGCGCGCGTCTCGTAACGCTATAAAAAGTGACGGAGGCACACCATCAGCGTTTCATGTAGATGCAGACACCGCTAGGCGTTTGAGGTGCACGTAACAAGGCGGCTCTTTCTCGCACGTTCAGAAATGCGAAGTCACATCGAAATAATTAAAGTAATTATGACTATCGTAATGGTGGGAGCTGCGTCCTGTCTCAAATAGCTCCACGTAAAAAATAAAGGGGAACTTCTATATTTCACGGTGAAAATACGGGCGCTGTTGTGGAACTGCATTCACTGGGGGTAGGATGCCCGCGATTTGGCTCTGTAGCCTTCGCTCCAATGCCAAGAAAAGTTGTCGCCGAGAATAAATATAAATACACAAGGCTCTAACATCCACCTCCCTCAAAATATGGCCGCCACTGCCGAGAGCCGATCCCATCACCTTCGTGACAGCTGCTGAGCACCATAACCATTAAACCACCGTGACAGGCTTTAATGATGCTATAAATTAGACTATGGTTAAGGGGGATCACAGCACTTTAAGACTACTTTGAAGTTCATTGATGAAACTTTCCGAGTTAACATTCGTGTGCGAGCTTCAAATAAGCAAATTTTTTGTGGCTCAGTATGTATGTGTCTGTATGTGTCTTTTCAGAAGGCACCATTTGTTTCCAAGCAGATAGTTATTCAATGAACTGGCATGTCATAATAATCTGGATTGTGCATTTCAGCATTGTTTAGCTTGTGAATAAAGATTATTAAGGTGACGGATATGTAGCAGGCTGAGCTTGGCTCAAGATGCATTACAGACAAAGGTGGCAGTGTACAAAATAAATTTAACTTACACTAGCATTGGGAAAGGGTACAGTGGGTGGACTCGCAGTGATTACAAAAGACAAAAGATGTCATCCTAAATGAATTTGTCCGGTTAACTCGCCAGTTTTCCCCGCAGCCCATATAAGGGTGCAAGTTGTGGGCCTTGTGAGAATATGATAAAAACACTGTTTAGAGCTATTTGTGGTGCATAGTTCGTTAAACAACGGTGAACTGTTGAATGAATGTAACATCTCGGTGACTGGGAAATATAATGTTGAATGTTCATTTGAATAAAGCAAAGGTCCTGAAACTTGAACGTTTCTTACATTGCGTTATGCGGAGAGCAAGAATCGATGCAAATGAGGTCACCGATGCTCAAGGTGATTAGGTTGTTATGATGTGTGCGGGCAGAGAGGTGCTTGTGATTAGAAGACAAAGAGACAATTGGCGCCCGCTGCACGTGGCACAAGAGCGACTCGACCTATGAGAGCCATCAGCGGGGGCTCCAAAAACAGGGGAAAAAGAGCAGTGGCAGGGCAGAGGTGGCCGAGGGAAGATAGTGGCGTGGGCGTTGGAGTAGCGGCCAGCAGATTTCGTGGCTGAAGGTCATTGAGACTCCCACCTGGCACCACGTCGAGCTAATATCCGGCATCGACGTCTTGGGGTCGTCACAAAGACGTGCGATTCAAGGCCCTCCTGTGACTCCACCACTGTGAGCAAGCATCGGCTGGCAAACGCTGAAAGGACGTCTGGCCAATGAATGACCTTCACCGGGTTTGGCGTCTACCGCCGCGTCTACAGTCATTATCGCTTCTTGAGTACGCACCCGCTTATGCCATCGTCACACGCCCTTGAGTCTGCGGCGTCCGTGACTTTTTCTCCCCGAATGGTGAAACTCTCTTCAACTTCTCGACCCTTTGTACACATGTATTACTTTCGCTTTGTTATTGTACTCTCTGTCGTGTCCGTGCGCTCTTGTGTAGAGTGTGTGTCTGTCTTGTTCATAAGCAGACAGCCTCGTGTCTGTCAATGACTATGTGTCATCAAATTCTTCCTGCACAAAAGCGAAGTGCCTTTAGCTTTGTGGCAGTTGTGAATTCTTCAGGCCAGAGGGAAATACCTAGGCAAGCTCAAAAGAGCTAGCGCAAAATAGACCTCATTGGCTTGCACAAACCATTTGTTTCCAAAAGCTATCAGTGAGTTTATTCATCAACAACGACGTGATAATTTAAAGGGACACAAAAGGGAGGCAGTGAATAAAGTTAGAATGGTCTACCATTCCTTGAAACTCTCCTGCTGTTCATTTCACGGTTTTTCACGAGTTGCATCGTACAAAAAAAAAAAAAAAAGGCCCGAGTTTCAAGTTTCGCACAGGAATACTGACGCGACATCGTGTACTTCGAAGTATTTTTTTCAAGCTTCGGCCACGTCTGCTCACAAATATTTAATGAAACTTGGCACATCAAATCTTTGGCCTCCTCAAGGAACGTCTTCCTTCATTTGATAAAATCGAAAATTTCACAGGCCCTAGTGGGACACTTTCAAAAGCTATGACATCACAGCAAGTAGTGCACAAATGTCAAGGCGCTGTTGCCACCTGTATTGTCTGCTTTCTTGCTTACTATGCATCTTCTTATGGCAGTAAGCTTTTGGTACAGTGAAAGGATAATTAATATGGAACAAGTCATCCACTTTAGCGCCCTCCATAAGCATGAGCTAAAAGCCACAAGACAAGTGAAGGTAGTGTTTTGCTAAGATACGATCTCCACCCTACATCTGCATAGCGTGTGAATTTTTAATTGTCTCGAAAGTAGCGCGAAGACAAATTCAAAAGCGCACAACTGGGGCCTCGTCTCTTCTGTGTTAATTTTTTTTTGATTCGGAGGGTGTCTTTGGAGGTTACTTTTATTTTTATTTCTGCTGGCTGGGACCAATTGTGAGAAAAATTGGGAAGTCTACAGGCTTCGCAACGCTTCTAGATCTTTCCAGGTTTTGTCGACTTCCTCGATTTTTTCAGAAATGCATAGGATTTTGAATAATTCAGATTTGGGGCAATTGTGAGACAAAATGGAAAGCCCATCACTTTTGCAAAGCTTTTATTTTTTCGTATGTCGAGTTTGTGTCAAATATATAATAATTATAATTTGGGGTCATTGTGATGCAAAATGGGAAGCATTGCAAAGCTTCTATGGTTCACTATTTCCTGGATGCATCAGATGTTGAATACTAATTGAGTTTTGAGGTCGTTGTGAGAAAATTGAAAGCCTTTGGAAAGCTTCTATTTTTTGATATTTCAAAGTTGTGTCGAGATTGAAGAATTCAATTTTGGGGTCATTGTGAGACAAAATGGGAAGACTATAGCCTTCTCAAAGATTCGATTTTTCTATATTCCCTGATTGCGTGAAATTTTCAATAATTCAGTTTTCAGGCCATTGTTACATAAAGTAAGAAGCTAGTAAAACTTCGATTTCTCGATTTTTCCAGGTTTTGTCGAATTTTGAACGTTTCAATTTCGAGGTCCTTGTGAGACAAATGGGAGGCCTATAGCTTCGGGAAAGCTTTTATTTTTAGATATTTCTAGGTTGTGTCGAATTTTTAACAATTCGATTTAGGGGTCATTGTGAGACAAAATGGGAAGCCTTTGCAAAGCTTCGATTTTCCATATTTTAAAGTTGTGTCGAATTTTGAATAATTAAATTTTGGGGTCATTGTGGTACAAAATGAGAATCATTGGGAAACTTTGCAAACCTTCCAGTTTTCACTATTTGCTGGTTGCGCTAGATTTTGAATATTCGAGTTTTCGAGTCGTGAGACAATATGGAAAGCCTGTAGCCTTTTCAAAGCTTTTTTTATTCTTACAGGCTTAGTTTTGTTGAAGCATCCAATTTTGGTGTCTTTGTGAGACAAAACGGGAAGCCTACAGCCTTTGCTAAGGTTCTATTTTTCGATATTTCTAAGTTGTACCCAATTTCGAAGAAATGAAGTTTGGGGTAATTCTGAGACAAAAATATCCGGCAGGTCCCACGCACCTTGGAATCGACGTTGTGCAAAGCATGGGGAGAGAAGGTGACTGCGTTGTAATTTTGTTGTTTAGCAACAGGTCATGAAATGACGCTAAATATATGTATAAATGTTGCACTCAATGACATATGCTGGAAAAGTAGCACATGTTTGTATAACCAGTTTGCACTTGTGTAACGTTGCCTACAGGAACGCGAGTATTAGCAACACCAGAAGCGATAAGCTGATATAAAGCGCTGCTACGTAAATCAACTCCAGCTGCAATCGAACTGACGTGACGGCTGTATGAAAAGAGGACATGTGTAAGCTTTATAAAGTCAGATAGCCAGCGCTGCAACCGCAACTGATGTTTCACGAAGATTTGGGTGTGTTTGAAAAGCACTTCAGAAGCTTTGCGTGGCTTTGTGGTAGAGTGCTTGATTGACACGCCGAATGCTTGAGTTCAATTCCTGCTGGGACCCTAACATTAATCTTTTGCATTCGTCGGGTCGGCGCTGCCCACGTAAGGTTTTTCTTAGCGCTCGCACGTTAAAATTGTGCATGTGTGTTCTCGCTATTCTTGGGAAGTGTCTACCACCCGTGACACATACCCGCATACCAGCTGCACATGCCCGCCTCTGGTGAAAAGTGTTTGATGACGACCTACGCGAGGGGATTGTGACGTTATTCAATTGTTGACCAGCGTGTCCAATTTGTCACACTGTCTTGCCCTCCCATACTAATTTTGTTTCACCCCAAGTTAAGGGGGTGAAACACCCTGACCGAAGTGGCTAGATAGATAGATAGATAGATAGATAGATAGATAGATAGATAGATAGATAGATAGATAGATAGATAGATAGATAGATAGATAGATAGATGGATAGATAGATGGATAGATAGATGGATAGATAGATAGATAGATAGATAGATAGATAGATAGATAGATAGACAGA